AGAATAGAGATGATAGAAGAAGAGAGAATTTAGAGAAAAGGAAAGTTCATCATTCATTTCATAAGGGAAATGTTGATTACACAACAGGTATTTATTTAGTTACTAGCTAGTACGGGAAATCTAACAATTCCAGCTGGCATTCTGTACTAACAGAATGCTTAACCAACTGCTTCTTATCCTTCTTTTGGTGCTGCAGGTATTGGGCCATCTTGATAGGGCCACTCCATCTCGTCTGGTACTCCTTAGTCTGCTCCAACCCATCAGATAAGTGAGACACATGACTCCCTCGTGCTTCAGACCCTTTTCTGATTTCAATTCCCAAATTACTCTCCTCAATCCCTAACCCTCGTTCCTCTATTCCCAAATCCTCCTCGTTCCTTCGTTCTTCCTCTTCTCCTCCGACCATGACAATACCCACCCCTCGAGATGAGCCTTGTCCCCAAGGATCAAACGCAGTAAACTGTCCCTTTAGAGTCGAATAATCCTCCCCAGTGTCATACTCTTCATCGAGATTCTCCCAGTGACCCAAAAGTTGAGTCACAGTTTTGCCATTTCTGTTTACAATCCTTCTGCCCATAATCTTTAAGGGTTTGATTTGTAACAGCCCTTTTTCATCAACTGTTGGAGGCTTGGTGACAGCAGTGGATGAATCGCCTATGAACTTCTTCAAGAGGCTTACATGGAATACTGGATGCAAGCGAGAGGAATCTGGTAAGTCCAACCGATAGGCTATTGTTCCTATTTTTTCCAGAATTCCATAAGGTCCATAAAATTTCACTGCTAACTTCAATTTCCTTCGCAGGGCAATGGATGTCTGCCTGTAGAGCTGCAAATTTAGGTATACTTCTTCTTCGAATTGAAACTGTCTTTCACTTCGATTTCTATCAGCATGTTGTTTAATTCTGTTTTGCAACATATCTGGGACCTTATACACTGTTAATTCTAAACACCATAGCAGAGTAGGTGGTTTATCTGGATTCACACTCACTTCATACAACACCGCATCATTGTTTTGTGAAACTATGCTCTTCCGTATATCTTTTAGCCTCTCATTTCTTCGTTTCAAGGTAACAAGTTGCCCAACTCGAATATCATCAAAATGGAGGGGTAGAAACCCAATAGCTAGGCATGGTCCTTGGATTGGCAGCTTAATAGACCCAAACTTAGACCCCACATACTTCTTATATTTGCCCCAAACCCATTGTTGGGTTTCAACTGTTAGAATCACTGCCACAACAGTTAGTTCAGCACCTTCTATTTCCCTTCCGATAAGAGCAATTATCTCCACCAGTTGAAGTTTAAGGAAAAAATTTCCAATTGGTTCAAACATTCTAAGTTCTCCAACAACCAAATCTGATCGAACTGATGTGTACCCAAATAAAAAACGACTGTTATAATCTGCAACAGTAACCTCATAAGTTTTAGCATTAACCACATTGACAAGAATAATTTTTCTGTCAATAATTTCTCTATACCAACTAAGGAGAGTTGATCATTCATAGCCACTAAAATATTCTTCCACCCTAGAGTATATCCTTAAATCCATAATATTCCGACGTAATACACCCACATAGTCCAATAGATGAGTAAGCATATTCCCAATAGGTTGAGTTTCATTTGTAAGCTCCCAATCCCCGTAGTTCTCCACAACCTTCTTTGTTTTCTTCTTTTTCTCAATGTTTTCATCTTGACCAGACTTTTTAGCTTCAACTGGGTCCCCATCAACTTTGACCTCTTTATTGATTCCCTTTTCCTGCCATGTATAAATTTGGAAAGAAACAATTTGTGAATAATTCTTCACAAGCTTTTGAGGCCATTCTGGAGTTGTCTCCTCCCAAATAGAATAGGAGCTTTCATTTACTTCTCCTTCCCGTACGTATGATTTCGGACTCTTTGTTGAAACAACTACCTTGTCAGAAACCAAATATGCTGAATAGAAATCAACTCCAAACTGACTGATCAAATTGTTGTTTGTACCAGCATCTTTGCTTTCCTTCACAGCCTTCAAGAACTTAGCAGTTCCACCCTGTTTAATTGTTCCAAGACAATCAACAAGTTCTTGTTTTGTCATACCCAAGCCTGAATCAATAATTGTTATTATCCCACTGTCTTTATCAATTTGGACACGGATGTCAAGATCAACAGCTTCCTTTAAAAGCTGAAAATCAGTAACATTTAGATACTCTAACTTGTCCCCATAAAACTCAACGAATTTGCCAACAACACCATGCTTCCTCAGTATTTGTGTCACGGTTATAATCAAGTTAGTAGATGTCACACCATTTCTTAATTTCCAAATAACTTTAATCCAACAACACCAAGTAAAACCATGCTCATAGGCTGACCAAGCATGGCTGCCTCAGCTTTAATACCACCAACTCCCCAACCAGCTACTCCAAGACCATCTATCATAGTTGTATGGGAATCAGTTCCAACCACATTATCGGGGTACAACATTCCGTTGGTGTTGAAAACAACCCGCCCGATATATTCAAGATTAACTTGATGCACAATACTAGAACCAGGAGGAACAACAAGCATTTTATGAAAGCCAGTAGATCCCAACTTAAGGGAAAAAAATCTTTCCTTGTTACTCTGAAACTCAAGTTCCATGTTTGCTTGCACTGCATTTTCTGATCTGGTTACATCAACTTGAACTGAATGGTCAATGACAATATCTACAGTAACCATAGGATTAATTGTATCACTGTCAAGTTTGTGCATTGCATTACGCATACAAGCAAGGTCAACCTCAGCAAGCACTCCAGTGAAATCGTGGAAGTTTTCGCAGTTACGAACCGCAGATTCAAGCAAGATTCTAATAGAGTATGGCAGTTTATCAATCCTTGGATCATTCAGGGCAGGCAAGCTGTAGAACCTTCCAAACTCGCCACCACCTGGTTTGGAAAGACTTGTCAACACTGCCTTAAAGGAATGTTCTGTAGCAGATTTTTGGCACTGTAGAATTTGAGTTTTATAGTGGTTTATCCTCCATCCCGTATCATAATAAGGGGCGATTCTCTTTCTTAGTGCATCTGGAATCTCCATTTGATTTTGAAGTTGCTGTGCAAATTCCAACCTAATCCATTTTTTTGTTCTGTTCATGTAGAGGTTTATCCCCTCGACATTGAACTCACATTTGATGAATTTATCAACACCACCTGTGAAAACTTGTCTTAACATTTTGTCATTACTGCCATGATCTATCCAATGCTGAAACGTTAGCTTAGACATTTTTTCAAACAGTTTATGCCCTCTATTGTGAAGTATCCTAATATCCTTGGCTGTGAACTCATTAGTGGAGTCACCATGTGCTGGTTTAGATTTTAGGATTTCAGATTCACTGATCTTATATGAAAATCGAGATTCATTCATCCCTGTCACTAACATAGGTTTCTTCCCATCAGTCTTAGGAAGGTTAGGAATATTTACCTGTTTATTCTCTGAACTGATTTGTTCTTGTAGTTGAGTAAAGCAGTCCCCATTCATTTGCTTTTGCTCACACTTTTTATCCTTCAAAATCTGTAAGATCTGCTCCACATATCTCTGATTTGTTTCCAGTTTAGATTCCAACGTATTCAATCGGCTTTCCTGCTTTTTCCACCATTTAGGTGGATTAGAATCATCTTGGCCTTGCTTCACCAACGCAGCCAAGTCTTCAATTTGTTTTTGAAGTACAGAAAAATCAGTTTCAGCCATATTCTGGTTTGTCTTTGTCACACCCACTGAAAAATTGCCAGGAATTGCGGCTCTAGATACCAATTGTTATGGATTGAAGAGAAATAGAGAAGATTACGAGAATAGAGATGATAGAAGAAGAGAGAATTTAGAGAAAATGAAAGTTCATCATTCATTTCATAAGGGAAATGTTGATTACACAGCAGGTATTTATTTAGTTACTAGCTAGTACGAGAAATCTAACAATTCTAGCTGGCATTCTGTACTAACAGAATGCTTAACCAACTGCTTCTTATCCTTCTTTTGGTGCTGCAGGTATTGGGCCATCTTGATAGGGCCACTCCATCTCGTTTGGTACTCCTTAGTCTGCTCCAACCCATCAGATAAGTGAGACACATGACTCCCTCGTGCTTCAGACCCTTTTCTGATTTCAATTCCCAAATTACTCTCCTCAATCCCTAACCCTCGTTCCTCTATTCCCAAATCCTCCTCGTTCCTTCGTTCTTCCTCTTCTCCTCTGACCATGAAATAATTTTAAAATATTATTTCAGGATTATTATTTGCTTTTATTTTTCTTGGAAAATTGATTTTTAAATTTATTGAAGAAAAAACTTTGAAACTTAAAAAAAAATAACCTAATGTAAGAAATAAAGTCCAATAAAAACTCAAAATTAACATGAAAAGTTAAACCAAATTACAACGAAAGATTCAAACGAACACGGTCTCATCCCTTCTTCATTTTCAATTTTGCATTGAAAAACAAAAATCATATCAGCCCTTTAAGCAGGCAAAGTTCTAGAGATATTTATGATCAATTTTATTCGGAAAAAAGAAAAGAAATCTAAAGCCAACTCTTTAAATGCCAAAATGCATGCAACCATCAATAAAATGCCCAGCTCTTTAGAGCATTCATCACATAGTCATTATCATATGATCAGAAATTATAAGACCTAATAGCATACAATACACTATTGGGAGGCTTATTCACACACAAAGTTCGGCAACTAAATGATTAAGTCTTTAGATTCTAACTAGAAATCAACAGACTGTCTGGATGAGATTTCAGCAAAATTCATGGGGCATCCAATGTACACAAACAATGAACTAAATCACTAGAATGCTTACACTTTAATTTTCATGGAACACCATGATTTGCTATATAGGCTCCAAGTGGAAGTCTTGGGAATTAGGTACCCTGCTTCCAATAAGACCTCATGAGTTCTCATGAACATAAGTTATAGACCCTATAAGCAATGAAAAGTACCAACAAATGTCGACATGAAGCTTCGTAAAATTGACCACCTAATCTACACTTGCTTCTCGAACAAGGGAACTTAAAAGACCTCATACCTTAAAAGATCCACTCCCTAAAAGAATCTTTTAAGATCAGTATGCTTGTTGTAGATGCTTCAAGAGTAGATTGCATTGGCCACTAATTTTTTTCAGCTTTTAATTTGTGTGTGAGCTGTATCAAGCAATAATTTCACAGATTTTGCCAGTTACCTCCATGGAGGTTGGTCAAGATTGGTTAGCATGGATTCATTCAGCTGGAATTGTGCAAAGCTGACCATGTCCAAGACTATGCTCCAATGGATACATGGTTGTGCCTTTCACAAATTTTTTATGGTCAACAGCAGCCTTTCTGAGACTAGATACTGACATGTGCTTCCTTTTAACTTGCTTCTTTATTATTGAGCACGAACTAAGTAGGTCTTCGGATCCTGCTCCAACCCTCCTACAGATATAGAAAGAACTTGCATTTATTACATCTTAGGAACACAATTTTAAGTTGGAATACTTGGATGCTAATTTGCCATTATATCAAGATTCACCTAATCACACCGACCTAAGAATTTGATAAAACATTAAACACCATAAAATACTCTTGGAAACCCATATGGGAATGCATAACAAGACTAGAGATTTTACACTCTATTAGTTCTTTTTTGCTGCTTCTACACAGTTTCTCAACTCCTAAAAGCTATGACGAGCAAATTTGGTGCTTTGAAAAAAGGACATCTACATTTTGCAAAAGCTGAAAAATAAAGTTTTAGAAGCTTGCATGATGAACGACTTAAGATTTCTCAATCACTGAACAACTGACTTAAGATTTCTCAAACATTTTTTTAGTGGTGAGATTTATTATCACAGCACAGCAAGTCTAATTACTATAGTATAAATGAAGCAAAGAAAATAGAAAATATCATTACCTCAACAATTTCTCTGATGCAATTCTAGCAGCTCTTATAGCATCACGACTTGGCACCCACTTCACAACTCGGTTTGGATCCGATCGCATAGGAGAATGGATTTTGGTTAACTTAACAATAACAGATAAAAGAATTGTCAAAGATAGTGATTTCTCAAGACTGATATGAAAGGATTGTAATTGCATCATGAAGAAAATAAAATTCATATGGTCTCTTCTTCCTACTAATAGTCACAAAAACAGAGCTCTCATTATTAACTCGAATGACCAAACCCAAATAAAGATTTTAATGTGAGAAGAGAGAGAGAGCATACACCCAAACATTCCATCATCTGGTAATAAGCCCTGCCATGCAAAGGTGTATGGCCCTTCCGAGATTCTGAGAAATATCTAGTCCTGAGAGATATTAACAAGTTCTTTTTTTGTCAGGTAACACAATTAAATGTGAAGTTGCAAAGAAAGATAGTTAAAAGCAACAGTACCATTCTTTGTAACCCGGATCCACAGTGAAACCATACATATCAACTGAATCACATACAGAAAGAGCGAATTCAAGCGCCTTGAGCCCTGTCCCTTTGCAGCTGAACCAAAGGATGCACCTAGCATGAGATATACGGGATTTTTTATTGGAATGTCCTGCATAAGAAAAAGAAAAATATCTTTGAAGTTTATGTAAAAAGCAGGAGAAAAGGTGCAGCAACGAGTAAAAGAGGATATCCCCAAAACTTCCGTCTGTCATTTCAAAGCCATTTATACTTTCGAGGGCAGTAACAGATATTTCAAAAATAATAAATATGGCTGAACAGTCAATTTTTCATAAGAAACTTCACAGGTTTTAACAGGAACAAGGATTCATTTTTTGATATCATTTTGGGGGAAAATAATAATGATTGGCAATCAGCCCATAGACCTCGGAATTTCAGAACAGTTAACAAAGTTAAATCACAGGTACATAGACATATATTAAGAAAAACATCATAATCATAGAAAGAAACTAGACGGGAAATATTTACTAACCCGAATCATCTGGTTCATAATGTCATGAATTGTAGTTTTGACTATCAAGACCTCCTGCCTTGTTTCTATAAAATTCAAATATTAGCATGCTTTCAGAATTATGGAAGCATAATGAGTAAACAGAGCAAAAATATCAATACCATCTAACTCTACAACTTTATCGAGAGCTTTGGCAGATCCTCTGTTAAGAAGCCGAAATGAACTTTTCTTGCCCACATATTCTGTATAATTCTGCAACCGAACATTTTATCATATGGAAATATTGTGAGACAGACTGATTGGAAAAAATCCAAAGCTTTAAGATAGCAACTTAACCTCAATAGGGGCACCATTCTCTCTAATGACAACATCATAGCTATCTATCTCTTCCCCGAACCTCGTTTTGAGAAGATCCCCGGAGTTGCCTATAACAGCACACCGCCCGAACTGCCTTGGAACATAAGGTGGTGTTTCAGGGAGGACAAGTGAAAGCTTCTCCATGCATAAAGTCTTATTTTTACAGTTGTTCCTGCAATCAAGAAAGAAGCTCCATAAAAATTTGGGCAGCTACAATTTATCTAAGCAACGTGGCTTATCTGGCACGTCAAATATATTTGTTTCTTGGCATGTTACGAAAATAATCAATAATTTTTAAAATATTTCATTCCTGACTTTATTTATGTTAACAATGGTACACTACACAAAAGCAAATATTTGAAATGCTTCAATCACGAAAAGTACTCACAGAAGCACTCCTTTATTAATCCTCCGCCATGCGTACTCCTCCCAACCATTTGGTAAAGCATCAATGAATTCCCTAGTGAGTATTGTAGTACTATTCCTCACCTGAACAAGCAACTCACTAAATAACAAATCTTAAACAAGTGAAAATATACCGGAACAAACAAATAAGGAAACACACCTGTTCCCATGTGGCTACAGCTTCGCAAAGGTTAAACTCAAATGATAAACCTTCAACTTCTCCAGTTTTAGGATCCTTCTGTTTACAAAAACGAACTTCTAAAGCTACAAGTCCACTTAAAGAACGAAATCGCCAATGAACACAAAATAAAGTAATAGAATTGTTAAAAAGAAGCCTACCCATTTGGAGTCGGTATCACTAGGATAGGTTAGTGTTACTTGACAATAATCCGTACCACTCATGGCTTGTAAACCTAATCCATTTGCAGTCTGTATGAATCCATAATAAACCAAATTAAAAAGAACAGGGAGGAACAAAAAAACGCACATAATCAACCTAGAGTTTGAAAAACAGAAACATTAATTTAACAAGAATTCCACCACGTCAACACATTTCTACACAAAATGAATATGCGCAAGTTAATATCATTAAAATTAACAAGCAATAATGATAAAAGACTGACCACGCACTTCTGAAAGCCGCTTTGCAGAGACTGCAGTGCTTCCCAATCTTCATCCGACAGTTTATGAATCTCATCTACAAAACATAACAACGGGAAATATAGAAAAAGAAATACAAATAATAGTATATGTGTGTCAAATAGTACCATGATTGGAGAGTCCATTGATATAGATGAGGATGGCTGAGACGCCAGAGGCTAAAGCTAGCAGAAAACCCAAATGCAAAACCTTCATTGCTGGGTTTCCGAAGCATAAATGGGAAAAGAAGATTCTGTGTTGAATCTGAAAGAGCAAATCCCAGATCGAGTTTCCTAAGCTAACAAGGCGTGAATCAATAATTAATAAATGAAATAAAAATATAAGTTAAATATAATCTAAACAATGAACAGTATATATATAATAATCTAAATTCTGCTTGCTAAAGGCCCAAATGGATTTAAGGCGGTGTTCGGCCATTGTTGGGCAATTGTTTGAAATTCAATCTTAAAGTGGAACAGCATCAGTTTATGCAAAAAGCTCAATCAATTAATCATTTCGTTCTTCTTTGGGCCCCTATATCTAATTTTTCATTTAAATATTAATTTATGAGACATACTGATGAATTAAAATAATCAATATATTAAAATAATATTCTTTTCTTTTTATTTATATGATTAATCAAAAGAAGAAAAAACACAGTCATGATAAGTATGTCTGCATACAGGGACGGTACTACCATAGGGCTCAAGACCCATGCTAAAATTTATATATTTAATATAAGGGTAAAGTATAGTAATGGTCACTGAACATTTCTGAAGCTTGCATTTAAGTCTCCCAACTTTTAAAACTTGCAATACAGTCCCCCAACATTTATTCCGTTTGTAATATGGTCCCCCAACTTAAACCACCGTTAGAAATTAGGGTAAATTATATAAAAGGTTATTGAACTTTTTAGACACTTGAATTTAGGTTCTCTAACTTTTAAAACTTGCAAAACAGTCCTCAATTTCATTCTAAACCCCAATTTCCAAAGTAATTCAATTTCATTCTAAACCCTAAATTCCAAAATAATTCAATTATGTCAGATTTATTATTATTTAATTTCATCTTATTTCATGTGATACGTATTTTTATATAAATATAATAGTATAATTCTTATCTGTTGAAGAAATTTTTTAATTAAAAAAAGTAGTTAGGATATAGAAGAGGTTTAAAATAATTCGAATTTTAAATTTATAAAATGTTATTTTGACGTATAAATAAAAGTGTAAACTACTAGGTTGACAACTTAACTATCTAGCCCTTTTTACTTTTGTCATCGATCTTTTAAATTTATCAATCATACAACATAATTATTTAATTGTTTCAACTAAGCCACTAGTCGTTACCAATTGATACAAATGATGAAGTGGCAGTTAAAAGGAATTGACATTATTATACATTCAGTCTTTATTATTTATATAATCAATTTGATCCTAAATTAAATAGAATTTAATAAATTAATCATTTAATTAGGATTTGACATGTGTTAGCACATGATCATGACACATGTCACCACCTAATTATTTATATATGCTATCAATTTGGTCCTAAATTAAATAAAATTTAATAAATTAATCATTTAACCAGGATCTGACATGTGTTAACACATGATCATGATATATGTTATTGGTGACACATGTCACCACCTAATTAGAAGAAAATTAAGTTACAAAGAAGTAAAATTTGGGTCTTGGGCAAACTCAAACCTGAGTCACGCAAATGAAAGATACAAGGTGGAGCCACTAAGCTAACACCATCGTTTGTGTTAAGAGATATACAATAATACATATACTAATAGTATGACCAATGCCAAAAAAAAAAAGAATATAATGGAAAATGGAAATAATGAGATTTGAACTTCGGCAAAAAATTTGAAAGCAATAAATGATGGGAAAATATTATATTTTTTTACAATAAAAATATTATATTTGATAAATTGTTTGATAGATTTAATATATTTTTTAAATATTAGTTGATACAATATTTTAAAAGAATAAATTTAAGATTTATATATTTTTAAACTAAATTTAATAATTATATTTTTCATATTTATAATTCATGATTATATATATAATCTTAAGTTGAGTATTTATAATATAATTAATAATTTTAATTTCTTATTAAAAATAAAATATTCAAAAAATATAAATGATTCATACATTAATATATGAATATATTTTTTTATTATTTATACATCTAAATATAAATATACATTTATATAAATATATTTTTATTCGTATATTGAAATATTTTGATTAAAATATAAACATATTTTAAATACTAGTTTATACAAGAAAAATAAAATATATAAAAAATATAAATGATTCATACATTTAAATATAAATTGAATCATTTATATTTTATATACATCTATATTTAATAAGAAAATAAAATTATTGGGGGACTGTTTTGCAAGTTTTAAAAGTTGGGGACCTAAATTCAAGTGCCTGAAAAGTTCAATGACCATTTATATAATTTACCCTAATTTTCTAACAGTGATTTAAGTTGGGGGACCATATTGCAAACGGAATAAATGTTGGGGGACTGTATTGCAAGTTTAAAAAGTTGGGGAACCTAAATGCAAGCTTAAGAAATGTTCAGTGACCATTACTATACTTTACCCTTAATATAATTTTGGTTTAATAGTATTTTAGTTTATGTAAATATAAATATTTAAATTTAAAAAATATAATTTTTTTTATTAAATATTTAATCAAGTAGTGGCCGAACTAAAAATGATAAGTATGTGTTCTCAAATTTTTTAATTATAAATTTAAGGTGAATACAAGGTAGTATATGTACAAAGACTTTTAACTATTTGAGAATGAACGCTTATACCCTTACATACACAGTGCTTGAACTCGGGACCTCAAGGATAACAATAATCCCTTAATCACTAAGGTCGCTTGTTCATACTGAATTTCGAGTTTAAATACCTAATAACTTTTATATTTTTCTTAAATATTCTAATATTTCGGCCCCTATCAATATTTAATTTTAGCTCCGTCCCTGTCTGCATATATATACAAACACCAAATCTTGTCTATTAAGTATCACATCTATATAAATTTATTGAATAGTCTCTGTTGAGTTAATCGATCTACGGAATCGGCCAAGAGGGGGGTGAATTGGCAATTAAAAATTTCGTGGAAGCTTTTGCAGAAAATTTAAAGTAATTGCACAGCGATTTACAGTGGTTCGACTTTCTCAAACAAAGTCTACGTCCACTACCTTAGCTATCCACACTAAGGATTTTCCAACAAATTCACTAATTTGTTCTTTCTTTTGAGGCCAAAGAGATAACCTTACAAAATCCCTCAAGAGTATACCCCAACTCTTGAGAACACTCTTTTTCCCAAAGAGAAGATTACAAATTTGCAAACTTACAAGAAAACCTCACAAGGTAAGATGTTTGCACAATTCTAGAACAAAGAAAAGAACACTCAAGGATAAATACAATTGAGTACAAAAGTGTTCTTGAAAGCAAATGAATATTGGATGAAAAATAGGCTTGAAATACTCAAACTTGAGATTTGATGCTTTCTCTTTGATTCTCTCTTGATTCTAGTTGATTGATGTTTCTTGTTGTTGATCAATGGCTCCAGAACTTGTTTAAATACCCCTTGAATCAATTCTGAACATTGGTGATAATTAGTGGGGATAATAGAGCCGTTTAAGTGTGAAAACAATTAATTTTTCTAGGTGGAGCATCTCATGCATCGATGCATGATCAAGTATGCATCGGTGCATTCGTGTAAAATTCAAATATTTTGACCGTTGGAACACTTGATGCATCGGTGCACCAAGTGTGCATCGATGCATGAAATGCATTCGATGTTTGAAAAATAGCCTGATGCATCGATGCATGGCTTGTGCATCGATGCATCAAATGCATTCGATGTTTTGAAAATATTCAGAGTGCATCGATGCATGGAGAGTGCATCGGTGCATGGAATGCATTCGATGTTCAATTAATTCATCGATGCATCGATGCATGGACTGATGCATCGGTGCATGACTTTGAATAATTGATTTAAGGCATGTTTTTGGTTCAAAATACTTCGTGAAAATTGTTTCAAAAATAGTTTAAGTACAAATCACAATTTTACACATTTAGTAAGGATTAAACTTGGAGTAACAATTTTACAAATCACAATTTTACACATTTAGTAAGGATTAAAATAGTATATTTGTATTATCAATTATTAAAAATTATAAATAAATATTATCTTATAATCACTCTAAACTATTCAAAAATAATATCACGTCTATATTACCGAGAAATGTTTTTAATTGGACAGCCCATGAAACATGCCATGGCTTGCAAACAAAATTGGTATGGGTGATGGGTATTATTGAAATATTATGAAGAAGACTTTTCCATATCTTAATAATCTTCTTGTTCAATTCCTCAAATGCCTTTTAAATACAATATTAATGATAATGCGACAAAAGATACGAGGCATTTCAATGGAGAAGAAGCGGCTGTGCCATGCCTGTTTGCTCCTCTTCCCCTCCCATTTGGTCCATATACCCTGGCTTTGAACATATATGATCTTCATTCACATTACTAGAACAACGTATAATATTATTAAAATCTCAAAATTCGAATTTTTTAACTTAGCTGACGTTTCATTTTAATAATGATCATATTATCAATTTAAAGTATTATAAGTTTTAAAGGGGCTGAATTATAAATTTAATATTTTGGAGGCTAAAGTATAAACTACTGTTGTACTAAATTAAAATTTAATGAAATTTAAAATGATTAAAATACAAATTAACCATTAGGAGCCAAGGCCGGCATGCCCCTTTGGTGTGATCCTTGTCTTTGGTGCTCTAGGATTTGTTTTTAGGTGTATGTACGTACTGCAAGACATCAATAAACATAGGGTAAACTACACATTAATATCTAAATTATTAGTTTTGTTTCGTTTTAATACTTAAATTTTTATTTGTTTCAAAATCATACCTAATAAACAACAATATATAATCACTCGAATTTTAAAACAAAAAGTAAATGTTATGTATAATTTTGAGACAAATGAAAATTTAAGTACGCATTTTAGCATGTCATCATCATTTATACAATATAACCCGTCAAATAGAAAATAAAACCGAAAAAAAGGAGGTAATGGGGCTCCTTTTTATTGGTAATAATGTCATCTTCGTGAAAAAAAATTATGGGTCTTGCATGTATCATATGTTGAAAATTATTGTACTACAATTAACGAAATAGAATTTTAGATAAA